TTCTCCATCATTCCACCCATTCATCCTTCCCATCACCCTTCTCCATCATCCTTCTCCATATCCTTCCCGTCCCATCACTTCCCATCATCCTTCCCATCATCCTTCTCCATCATCCTTCTCCATTATCCTTCTACACCATCCTTCCCATCATCCTTCCCACCATCCTTCTCAATCATCCTTCTCCATCATAATTCCTGTAACCTTCTCTGTCATCCTTCCGACCATCCTTCCCACCATCCTTCTCCATCATCCTTCCCATCATTCTTCCCATCATCCTTTCTCCATCATCCTTCTCCATCATAATTCCTGTCATCCTTCTCTGTCATCCTTCCGACCATCCTTCCCACCATCCTTCTCCACCATCCTTCCCATCATCCTTCCACCATCCTTTGCTCCCTGGGAGCTGCCCGAGCGACCCCACTGCGTGGCGGCTGCCCGGCCGAGCCAGCGACCCACCCAGGAGGGAGGGGGACACCACGATGTCCTTCGTGACGCACCTCGGAAGGCCACACTCCGTCCGGTGCTTCAGCAGTCCCGTTCCGGCTGTGCAGGGGGAGGGGGCGGCACCAGGACGTGAAACCTGGGAGCTGAGGCTCCATGGGCATCTCGAAGGCTCGCGAAGGTAGCGCTGCTCCGCGGATCCCTCTGCCACTTCTCCACCCGCCACTTCTCCACCCCACGGAGGGTGAGCCTCTGGGCCTTGCTTTGCCCCTGAAATGCGCAAGGGGCGTGGCCCACTCTCAGCGGGAAATTTAAGAGCCATCAAGCTACTTCCCAGTCCACTTCTCTGTTGTCATGATTGCAGGTGCGTGTCAAGATCAGACAAGCGCTTGGTGGGGGATGCAGTGGCTCATGCCTGTGAGCCCAGCACTTTGGGAGGCCGAGGCGGGAGGACTGCTTGAGCCCAGGAGTTTGAAACCAGGCTGGGCAACATAGTGAGATCCCGTCTCTACACAAATTTAAAAATCAGCCAGGTGTGCGTCTGTCCTAGGTACTTGGGAGGCTGAGGTGGGAGGATCCCTTGAGCCCAGGAGGTCGAGGCTGCAGTGAGCTGGGATTACACCAATGCACTGCAGCCTGGGTGACAGAGCAAGACCCCGGCTCAAAAAAGAAAACTGGGCCAGGCGTGGTGACTCATGCCTGTAATCCCAGCACTTTGGGAGGCCGAGGCGGGTGGATCACTTGAGGTCAGGAGTTCAAGATCAGCCTGGCCAACATGGTGAAACCCCGTCTCTACTAAAAATACAAAAAAAATTAGCTGGGCGTGGTGGTGGGCGCCTGCAATCCCAGCTCCTCAGGAGGCTGAGGCAGGAAAATCGCTCGAACTCGGGAGGCGAAGGTTGCAGTGAGCCGAGATCACGCCACTGCACTCCAGGCTGGGCGGCGGAGCCAGACTCTGTCTCAAAAAAATAAAAAACAAAAACCCAACAACTGGCCGTCCCCTGCAGAGGAAGCGAGAGGAGTTTTGGTTGTGTTGAAGCCACTGAGGTTTGGGGTTGTTGGTTCCTGTGGTGCCCGAGGCTTCTCCTGACTGACAGGTCTGTGGGCCAGGATTAGCCAGCTCCATCCACCACCACTTCTGCACGAATTCTCTCCTCTCTGGGGGCGGCAGCCCTCGTCCGGCTCCCCAGGCATCCACGCGGCCCCTCGGTGCACCCGCAGGGCTCTGTGCCTGGCCCGGACCTGCCTCGGGTGTTCGTCTGCCCCTCCCGATGTGCACCCTGCTTTTCTGCGCCTGACCTTGTGCATCTACGTTGTGGGGGTTCTTGTGAGGACGGGCGAACAGGGCTGGAGCCAGGTGCTCAGGACGTGTGGGAGGCCCCACCTGCGCTTATTTCGGGCTGTAATTAGGGCTGCAGCTCTGCCACAGCTGCCTCCAGGGGCAGGAAGACACTCAAAAAGGTAATTACATCCTGGTGAGATCACAGCCATGATGACGGCAAGACACAGGAAGTGACAGCTGACTTCAAGGCAGCCGCGTACCTGCCCCTCCTGGGCTCCCAGGCGGCTCCCAGCAGAATCACTGGGTGATGGAGGAGGAGGAGGAGGAGGAGGAGGAGGAAGAAGGCAGCAAGCTCTGGGCTGGGAGGAGGCCTGGGCTGGAATGTCAGCTCTGCCTGTGACGGTGGCCTCTGGGCCTTGGTCTCCCTGATTGCAAAATGGAGAGTGGGAGCCCAGCCAGGGCTCTGTCTGTGTCGGCTCCTACACAGAGCGGTGTGTAAGGCATGTGAGCATTTGTTAATACAGGAAAGATCCTATTTATGGAAAGTCTCCAGAAAGACGCAGGAACCCCTCCGCACTTCAGACTTCTGCTTCCCACTCTTGCCCCCAGCAGACGCCGGGCGGTGACTGGGACATCTGTGGTTGTCACGACTCGGGGAGCTCCTGGCGAGGAGGGGGTGGAGGCCGGGGACGCTGCTCAGGGCCCTGCAGTGCCCAGGACGGGCCCCGGAGAACGAGTCCAGATCGGCCCGGGCTTTGTTTCCGTGCACGTTTTCCCGGCCGTGACCTGCAGGGGGCAGCGCAGTCCTGGCTGCTACGATGAGCAACGCGGTGGCTCAGGAGGCCTCGGGGCTGCACTCTGCGGCTTCTGAGCCCAGCTCTGCCCTGGGTGGCCGTGTGGCCTTCAGCAAGTCATGGAACGTCTGTGTTTGTGCTCCGGAGGCCTTGGAGACGACCAGGAAGGTGGCAGGAGGGGGACGCTGTGGCCCCATCACCAGCCCGGGTGGCCGGAGCCGGCCATTTCTCAAAAGAAGGTGGCAGAGAGGATGTGGGGTGACTTCTCCCCCAGTCTACCGCGGTGATGCTCTCAGGAGCAGCCCAGTCAGCCCTGCAGCCTTTGGGGGTCCACACGCTGGGCTGAGTGGGGACAAACCTGCCAAGCTCTGGGCTTCTCTTCCCGACCGGCCAGGTGACCTCAGGGGTTCCTGATGGTGCAAGGACAGAGGGGCAGCCAGAGCTGCCCGAGGGGAGGATGGGAGCAGGCCGGGCTCTGCCAGCACAGAATCAGATGCTGCCCAGGCCTGCGCGCCTGTCTTCCACGTTCACCACTGGCTGTGTCTCTGGGGAGCCCAGGCCAGACCAGGGCCGGGATGCATCTGCACCACCCTTGTCCTGAGTCCCTGCTATGAGAACTCTTCCAGACAACGGCTCCGCTCCTGTCCTGGGGTGACTGGTGCCTGCCAGGCTCACGCCCATCCAGAACCTCAGACCGAGAGCTTATTTGGGACAGCAGATGTAGATGGTGGAGGTCACACTGAAGTCGGGTGGGGCCTAGTGGTGACATAATGAGGGAATACCGCACAGAGACAGAGGAGGCCACGGGACGACAGAGGCAGAGACTGCAGCGATGCGGCCACAAGGCAAAGCCTGATGGCTGCCACTGGAAGCTGGGGAGGCAAGGAGGTTCCTTCCCTGGAGCCTCCAGAGGGAGTGTGGCCCTCCTGACACCTCAGTTTCAGACTTTTGCCCTCCAGAACTCTGAGAGAATAAATTTCTGTTGTTTTAAGCCACAAGTTGGAGGTAATTTGTTCCAGCAGCCCTCAGAAATTAATATAAATATCCTCATCTGCAGTATCTCTGGGGTGAGTGGCTCGTGCAGTAATCAACCTGAACAACCATACATGGTGGGCCTGCTGTTTAACCCTTTTCCTCCTTGGGAGATTCTCTTCCAGATGTCCTGGGAGGCCATCTTCCTCCTGCTCCCCCTTCACCTCTGGTCTCGCCTTCCCACCCTGTCTTGTGGGTTCTCTGGGCTGGGTGCCCTCAGAGTGTGGTTCTGAGGTCTTCTCATCTCTCCTGAAGCCTTCAGGACTCCTCCCAGTCCAGTCTCCTGTCCTGGCCCCATGTCTCAGTTGCAGACACTTCTGTCCACCTTCCTGTTTCTAGGCTCCTTCCAGCCGCTAACTTAATCCACAGGTGACTCTGGCAGCTTCTTCAAACCAGGGCCTTCCATTGCGGTAAACGGCTCCACTGACCCTCTGGGCCTGCCCTTGCGCGCTCCCCTCCCACCCGGCCCCAGCAAATCCTCAGGCGGGGCCTTCAGAGCCACTGGGCCACTGGAGCAAGTCTGCTCCTTGTCCAGGTCCCCAACACCCTGCCACCCTTATCTGAGTATGATCTTGTACACCTGTGCACCGTGACCGTGGTGGGAGGGGACGCTCCCCGTCTCTCTTCTCGCCCCGAACTTCTCTGGGACTCTGGCGAGGGCTGCCATGGTGGGCGCTTATGCCCTGGTTATGAGGCTGAAAGGGCACCTTTGCTTGGCATCCTTCCCTGTCTGCTCTTCCCACCCCCTTCCTGGGTTCTCTTGGGTGCACCCCCTTATAAAATCACCAGTACACAAAATGCCTACCTCAGGCTCCGCTTCTGGGGACCCCCCCCCAATAAAAAAGAAAGCAGCTCATCCATACCCAACGTTAACACATAGTCCTCAACCACCTTCCTGGGCTCAGAACTGGCCCCAGCCAGGGGACACCGCGCATAGGCACCTGCAGCCCCGCAGGCTTCCGCCAAACTCCTTCCCGCCTCCCATGTGTCCCACACTCCGGCTCTAAATTTGCACCTGCTGGGCCTCTTCCCTGCAACCCCCCTGCCCCGGCCCGCGCATCGCCAGGCTCTTCCAGGAATCCCCACTTGCCTGCTGGGAGCCTGTCCCCTAAGGTGGGGGCCCTGGGTGACTGGGCTGCTCTCTGTAAATAGCATGATTTTGAAAATCATGAACTGCAAGGTGAAACTCAGCACCTGCAAAAAGGCATCACACACGCGAAGCCGGCCAGAAGGACTCGCGCCGCATGCAGCGCGCTGCCCAGCGCCAGACCCAAGCCCGGACCGTCCAGCCCGCCTTGTCCGGTCCATCCCTCCCAAAAAGGCACCGCAGACTACAACTCCCAGCACGTCCCGGGCCCCCGCGCCGGCGCTGCGGTTAAGGAGCCGCGCGGGGCATGCTGGGAATTGAAGTCCGCCACCGCCCCACCCGCCCAAGCCGGCCCGCTGCGCACCTCTGGGAGTGGTGGGCCAGGCGAAGGTGCCACAGTGCGCGGCCCAGGCGCTGCTGCTGCAGCAGGAGCTGGCCCGGGGGCTCCCCGGCGCCGCCGTTTACAGGCGAGCGCAGGCCCATGTTCTCGAAGTAGTGGGCCAGGAAGGCGATCGGTTCCTCGGGCCGCGCCTCCAGCACCTTCAGCAGGGCCGCCCGTAGCATCTCCGTCACGCCGACCTGCCGCAGGAAGTCCTCCTCGCTCTCGGCCGCCCCCGCCGCCCGGGATACCGACTGGCGGCCGCTGTCCGTGAAACCAGCCGGTGGTGCTACCGCTGGCCGCCGCTTCTCTACTGCCGCCATCTTCGCTGAGGGCATCGGGACCGGAAGCACCGCCATATTCCACCGTGCGCTAGAGCCCCAAGGCGGCCATCTTGATTAAGGGCGGAGGGCACTGGGATCCCGCTGGGAAACTTTGGGAAATGACAAAGGCCCGCTGCCCCTTTCCTTGTGTCCTTATCGGCATCCTCTTTTCTCCTCCCTGTTTGTGTATATTGATTGGCTTTCCTGTCTTTGGCCTGGATCCTGAATTTTGCCAGACTCCAAAATGGCTGCCTCGGAAGTGCTCCTTTTCTGGCACCAAGCCGGATTGCTTGTCTTTTGGGTAGTGAGCTAGTCCTTTATTAGCCTGGTCTCCTAGCAACCAGTCTCCCCGGTTACCAGAGGCCTGACGGAGCATGCGCGGGGATGGACCTGCCTAGGACTGCTGGACCCAGCCCCGCGCCCGGCCCGCGGACCCTTTTCTCATGTTCATTTCTGAGCCTTGGTGCTGGGGGTCGAGCCCCGCCCGGACTTCCGCCTGACCCAGTCTCCGTCTGAGTGCGCAGCTCCCCTCGTGGGAGAAGCCCCCTCCCCAGCCTAGCTCCGCTGCAGCCGCGCTGAGCCCCTAGTGGCGGCCACCCGGGCGAGCATCCCAGGCTGTTACCCTCCTGACCGCCAGAGGGAGCCTTCTGACACCGCCGCCTCCAGAGCTCTAAACTCTCCCATGGCTCCCCAGTACCCCCCGGCTGTCACCTCCAGCCCTTGCTGACCTCGCTTCCAGCTGCCCTCCCGCCCCTCCTAACCCTCCTCAGCCCCCGGCCACCTCAAAGCACAGCCTCCTGCATAAGCCGCCTCTCCGTGTGTTTCCCCAGGCGACCTCTATATATCTTCCCTCACTTCTCCCACTGCTTTCGGGGAGTCCTGGTTAAGCTTCTCGCCAGGGAGACCACTGAGCCCTCGCATTTTCCCGCCCCCGGCAGAGCTTGCTGGGTGCTGTACTAGTCCCTCAGGGCCGTTGCCCTGGGCAGGGGGTAATGAGAGCTGTTTCGGGGGGTGGGGGGCGTTCCACCATCCTCTGACCACAGGAGTCTCTGGCGGGCAGACCAAATGCCCTCTGTTCAACGTAGAGGTTCCTCTTCATACTATACTTTCCTCCCCATGTAATTAGGAATAAATAGTAACTTCTCCTAGAAGCAAAATGTAGGCAAAGATCTATGCTAACATTCACTATCTGCTGGCTGTACTAAATCAATGTACTTTATGTTCTCAGTTGCCACAATGTAGCCTAAATATTTGCCCTGGCATGCTTATGCTGGTCCAAGCGGGCATTAGGTCACAGCCTGTTCCTCTTCCTTATCTGAAGGTGTTTTTACCTTTCTCAGCATTCCACAAGTTAATTCTTCCTTCCTTTGCTCTCCTCTGCCTTTGCCTCTTTTACAAAGTTCTAAGTTGCAGGCCAATCGGAACAAATACAGAAGGTGAGGTCCTGTTCCAGCCAACAGAAACTGGACACAGAAGTAGGGTGGACACGTCAGGTTAGAAATGACCCTGTCTCCTTTGTTCAGTGTACTCTCGCGGCAAAACTGCAGGTGAGTGTACCCTTTCTGCAGAAAGTAAACCAATGGCCTTACCGAGGAAATTAAATTTATGTTCAAGTGCCATTTCTTTTTTTTTTTTTTTTTTGAGACGGAGTCTCGCTCTGTCGCCCAGGCTGGAGTGCAGTGGCCCGATCTCAGCTCACTGCAAGCTACGCCTCCCGGGTTTACGCCATTCTCCTGCCTCAGCCTCCCGAGTAGCTGGGACTACAGGCGCCCGCCACCTTGCCAGGCTAGTTTTTTGTATTTTTTAGTAGAGACGGGGTTTCACCGGGTTAGCCAGGATGGTCTCGATCTCCTGACCTCGTGATCCACCCGTCTCGGCCTCCCAAAGTGCTGGGATTACAGGCTTGAGCCACCGCGCCCGGCCCTCAAGTGCCATTTCTTTACGGCACCGGGGAACAAGCATTCCTGACACTTTATTCTCCAGCCCTGGACTGTGGGATGAGGGAGATGGAGCCATCAGGGCAGGGCCTACAGTCAGCCCTCCTGCTGTCCGGAGCCCTCAGATCTCTCCTCTCCATGGAGTAGGTGTCCACTGAGAAAAATGACAAGTTTCTATCCTTTTAGGAGGTTTATTTGCCAAAGCCTCAGGAGGTCCTGACGGCAGGGGCCCAAGGTGGTCGGGGCTCAGCTGGTGTTACGCATTTTAGGGAGATATGACATGTGAATCAATATATGTAAGAAGTACGTTGGTTCTGTCCAGAAAGTCGGGGGTCACTCAAGCGGGGTGGGGGGGCTTCCAGGTCACGGGTAGGCGAGACAAACGGTCACCTTCTTTTGAGTTTCTGATGAGCCTTTCCAAAGGAGGCAATCAGAATATGCGTCCCTCTCTGTGACCAGAGGGATGACTTGGAATAAAATGGGAGGCAGGTTTGCCCCGACCACTTCTCAGCTTGAAGGGGTCCAACCTATTTTCCCTTCACAGGGGGAAGGGCTGGCCACTCAGAGGGCGCTACTCCCGACCTGGTCGGTCCCCCTTAATCCAGCCCAGGTGGACACCTGGGGCAGGAGCCTCAGAGAAGTTGGTGGGTGGGCGCCGTCCTCAGCCAGGTGCCGGCAGCGTTTCCAGAGGTGATAGGTGGGCAAAGCCAGGAGCAGCAGTCCCAGCACCGCACTGCTGGTCCACAGAGCCGCGGGCAGCTGGTCACCCGCAGGTCTGGACGCTGGGGAGAGCAGGAGATGCCGGTCAGAGCCCTCCAGGCCTCTGCAGGCTTGGGAAGGGAGGAGTCCCTCAGAGGCTACACGAGCTTCCAGAGTTACCACATTCCCTGAAATTTCACAAATGACTTTACCTTTGTGACCCTTTCAAAACGCGCACAGCACCTTAGAGTTTAGAAATGGGCAGTCCAGGCCGGGCACGGAGGCTCATGCCTGAAATCCCAGCACTTTGGGAGGCCGAAGCGGGCGGATCATGAGGTCAGGAGTTCGAGACCAGCCTGACCATGGGGAAACCCTGTACCTCCTAAAAATACAAAAATTAGCCGGGCATGGTGACAGGTGCCTGGAATCCCAGCTACTCAGGAGGCTGAAACAGGAGAATCACTTGAACCCGGGAGGTGGAGGTTGCAGTGAGCCGAGATCGTACCACTGCACTCCAGCCTGGGCAATAGAGTGAGACTCTGTCGCACACACACACACAAAAGGGTGGTCCGGAGAGAGGACGGCTCACCACCACGGAGGGTGCTGAGCCTGCAATCTGCACTTTGAAGACTTAGTTTGGGGAAAAAGGAGGAGTGTAGTATATCTCCTTCATACCATTTTATACTGATTACCTGTTGAAATGATAATACTTGGGATATATTGGGCTCCATGAAATGTATGACCACACTTTTTTTTTTTGAAGTGGAATCTCGCTCTGTTCCCCAGGCCAGAGTGCAGTGGTGCAATCTCGGCTCATTGCAAGCTCTGCCTCTTGGGTTCAAGTGATTCTCCTGCCTCAGCCTCCCGAGTAGCTGGGACTATAGGTGCCCGCCACCACACCTGGCTAATTTTTGTATTTTTAGTAGAGATGAGGTTTCACCATGTTGGCCAGACTGGTCTCGAACTCCTGACCTCAGGTGATCCTCCTCCTCAGTCTCCTGAAGTGCTGGGATTACAGGCATGAGCCACCATGTCTGGCCAACACTTTTTTTTGTTTGTTTGTTTGTTTTGCGACTGAGTCTTTCTCGGTCACCCAGGTGTGATCTCAGCTCACTGCAGCCTCAATCTCCTGGGCTCAAGTGATCCTCCAACCTCAGCCTCCCAAGTGGCTGGGACCACAAGTATACAGCACCACGCCCGGCTAATTTTTCAATTTTTTGGTGTGGAAATGGGGGTCTCACTATGTTGCCCAGAATGGTCTTGAACTCCTGGGCTCAAGTGATCCTCCTGCCTCTGCCTCCCAAAGTGCTGGGATTACAGGCATGAGCCACTGTGCTTGGCCTGACCACACTTATTTTTACCGTTTTTTTTTTTTTTTTTTTGAGATGGAATATTGCTCTGTTGCCCAGGCCAGAGTGCAGTGGTGTGATCTCGGCTCACTGCAAGCTCTTCCTCCTGGGTTCACACCATTCTCCTGCCTCAGCCTCCTGAGTAGCTGGGAATACAGGCGCCCATCACCACGCCTGGCTAATTTTTTATATTTTTAGTAAAGATGGGGTTTCACCATGTTAGCCAGGATGGTCTCAATCTCCTGACCTCGCTATCTGCCCGCCTCAGCCTCCCAAAGTGCTGGGATTACAGGCATGAGTCACCGCGCCTGGCCTTTACTTTTAAATTTGAAATTACCTGTAGAAAGTAGAAAAGTTCCTCTTCAGAGCTCGTCTTGGTTTAAAAATAAAATTATAGACACTAGAAATAATAGCTTCTTACTCTAAAGCCTCCTATCAGCTATTATTTCTTACACTTTAGCCCAGTTAGTTGCTTGGGCTTACCCAGGCATGTCTGGACAGTCCCAGGCAAGTCTTCGCTCATAGCTTATGCCCCTTCCTTATTTGGAAATGTTATCGCTTCCTTAAATCTTTTGTAAGCAACTTCCTCTCCTTTGTCCTCCTTTGCACTTATCTATTTAGGAAAGTTTTAGGTTGTTAGCAAACGGGGTATCAGTTTAAGACTGTGAGGTCCCACTCCAGCCAGTGGATGCAGGACACAACAGTAAGGAAGACCCAGCCGGGCGCGGTGGCTCACGCCTGTAATCCCAGCACTTTGGGAGGCCGAGGCGGGCGGATCACGAGGTCAGGAGATCGAGACCATCCTGGCTAACACGGTGAAACCTCATCTCTACTAAAAATACAAAAAATTAGCCTGGCGTGGTGGCGGGCGCCTGTAGTCCAAGCTACTCGGGAGACTGAGGCAGGAGAATGGCGTGAACCCGGCAGGCAGAGCTTGCAGTGAGCCGAGATTGCGCCACTGATCTCCAGCCTGGGCAACGGAGCAAGACTCCGTCTCAAAAAAAAAAAAAAAAAAAAAAAAGGAAGACCCAAATGCATAAGGGATAAATATGTCTGCTTTTCCTTTGTTCAGGTGTGCTCTCGCCATTGTTCCATCTGCAATGGGCACCCTTTCTGCAGAAACTAAAAATGGCCTTACTGAGAGAATTAAATTTGAGTGCTACTTATTTGTGGCACCGGGGAACAAGCATTTCTGACATTACCTATGTGGGCCGGGCACAGTGGCTCACGCCTGTCATCCCAGCACTTTGGGAGGCTGAGGCGGGCGGATCACCTCAGGTCAGTTCGAGACCAGCCTGGTCAGCATGGTGAAACCCCGTCTCTACCAAAAATACAAAAATTAGCCAGGCATGGTGATGGGTGCCTGGAATCCCAGCAACACAGGAGGCTGAGGCAGGAGAATCGCTTGAACCCGGGAGGCGGAGGTTGCAATGAGCCGAGATTGCACTACTGCACTCCAGCCTGGGGGACAAAGCGAGACTCCGTCTCAAAAAAAAAGGAAAAAAATTACTTATGTGACCACATTCTGTTTCTGCTTCTGTTCCAAAGATTGTTCTAGTCTACGAGGCTGAGAATTTACAAAGTGCCTTGAAACCCGCAGTCTCTGATGCTTACAAAAAGGACCCAGAGTTAAGAGAAGACCACTGGACAGACGGGGAAACAGAGGCTGGACGAATGGGGAAACCGAGGCTGGACAGATGGGGAAACTGAGGCAGAACGGACGGGGAAACCAAGGCTGGACAGATGGGGAAACCGAGGCAGGACGGGGAAACCAAAGCTGGACAAACGGGGAAACTGAGGCTGGACAGATGGGGAAACCAAGGCAGGACGGATGGGGAAACCAAGGTAGGATGGACAGGGAAACCGAGGCTGGACAGATAGGGAAGCTGAGGCAGAACGGACGGGGAAACCAAGGCAGGACAGACAGGGAAACCGCGGCAGGACGGACAGGGAAACTGAAGCTGGAGGGACGGGGAAACCGGGGCAGGACAGACAGGGAAACTGAAGCTGGACAGGGCAATTTCTTGTCTAAAGTCTTCATCCAAGGAACCTCTCACTCTCAGCCCTTCCCACCCTCCCTGCCCCCAGGGACCAGCACTCACAACCTGTTGGGATCACTTCTCCCTGCGTGGGCCCAGCCTGGGAGATCTCAGGGCGGCAAGTCCTGGTGGAGCCCGGGCTCCTGGGGCTGTGTGTGGAGCCCTGCTGGGGGGTGATCTCCGGGGAGGTCGCGGCCTGGGGTTCTGGGGAGGTCGCGGCCTGGGGTTCCGGGGAGGTCGGGGCCTGGGGTTCCGGGGAGGTCGTGGCCTGGGGTTCCGGGGAGGTCGTGTCGGGGGGCTCCCGGGAGGTCGCGGCCTGGGGTTCCGGGGAGGTCGCGGCCTGGGGTTCCATTATGCAGGAGAATGGCGTGAACCCGGCAGGCAGAGTTGCAGTGAGCGATCGCGCCACTGATCTTCAGCCTGGGCACTGGATAAGACTCGTCTCAAAAAAAAAAAAAAAAAAAAAAAAAGGAAGACCCAAATGCATATGGACAAATATGTCTGCTTTTCTTTGTCTAGTAGTGCTCTGCCATTGTTCCATCTGCAATGAGCACCCTTTCTGCAGAAACGCAAAATGGCTCATTGAGAGAATGAATCTGAGGCTACTTATTTGTGGCAATCGGGAAATGCCACTTGAGCATTACCTACGCGTGGGTCAAGTACAGTGGCTCACGCCTGTCATCTCAGCACTTTGGGAGGCTGAGGCGGGCGGATCACCTCAGTCAGTTCTCGAGAGACCAGCTCTGGTCAGCATGGTGAAACCCGTCTCTACCAAAAATACAAAAATTAGCCAGGCATGGTGATGGGTGCCTGTAATTCCAGCAATACAGGAGGCTGAGGGGGGCAGGAGAATCGCTTGAACCCGGGAGGCGGAGGTTGCAATGAGCCAAGATTGCACCACTGCACTCCAGCCTGGGATGTGTGCGAGACTCGCCTCAAAAAAAGGAAAAAAATTATTTATGTGACTATATTCTGTTTCTGCTTCTGTTCCAAAGATTGTTCTAGTGAGAATTTACAAAGTGCCTTGAAACCCAGCCCTGACGCTTACAAAGGGGACCTAAAGCAGAGGGCGACCACTGGACATGGGAAACAGGAGGCTGGACGAATGGGGAAACCGAGAAGGAGCAGATGGGGAAACTGAGGCAGAACGGACGGGGCAACCAAGGCTGGACAGATGGGGAAAACCAAGGCAGGACAGACGGGGAAACCAAAGCTGACAAATTCTGGGAAACTGAGGCTGGACAGATGGGGAATCCAAAGCAGGACGGATGGGAAACCAAGGTAGGGATGGACAGGGAAACCGAGGCTGACAGATAGGGAAGCTTGAGGCAGAACGGATTTGGGCAAACCAAGGCAGGAGCAAAGCAGGAAACGAGGCAGGACTTGACAGGGAAACTGGAAGCTGAGGACGGGAAACTTGCAGGACAGACAGGGAAACTGGTTGGACGGGCAATTTCTTGTCTAAAGTCTTCATCCAGAACTCACTCTCAGCTCCTTCCCACTTTCCCTGCCCCCAGGACCAGCACTACAACCTGTTGGGATCACTCCTGCGTGGCCCAGCCTGGGAGATCTCAGGCGGCAAGCCCTGTGAGCCCCGGGCTCCTGGGGCTGGGTGTGTGGAGCTCGCTGGGGTGGATCTCCGGGAGGTCGCGGCCTGGGTTCCGGGAGGTCGCGCCTGGGGTTCTGGGGAGGCTGCGGCCCAGTCTTGGGAGGTCGGGGCCTGGGGTTCCGGGAGGTCGGGCCTGGGGTTCCGGGAGGCTGGGATGGGGCTCCCGGGAGGTCGCGCCTGGGGTCTCGGGAGGCTGCGGCCTGGGGTTCCGTGGGAGGTCGGGCCGGGGCTCGGAGGCTGCGGCCTGGGGTTCCGGGAGCCGGGAGGTCGCGGCCTGGGGTTCCGGGGAGGTCGCGGCCTGGGGTTCCGGGGAGGTCGTGTCGGGGGGCTCCCGGGAGGGTTTCAATGACGGTAGAGATCGGAAGACCGTACCAAAAAAGTCGGAGGTCGTGGCCTGGGGCTCCTGGGAAGTCGGGCCGTGCAGGACTGGAAACAGAGTGAGGGTTGTTTTTCTCTCTGCTGCCCCAGCCCTGCCTCTCCCACCTCAGTCTCTGCATCTGGACAAGGGCTGGGACCAGAACTTCTCCAAACCCCTTTCCTGGACCCCTCTGGTGGGTCCCATTTCCATTTCTTATTCTTCTTCTTTTTTTTTTTTGAGGCAGAATTTTACTCTTGTTGCCCAGGCTGGAGTGCAATGGCGCGATCTCGGCTCACTGCAACCTCCACCTCCCAGGTTCAAGCGATTCTCCTGTCTCCACCTCCCAAGTAGCTGGGACTACAGGCACCCGCCACCGCGCCCGGCTAATTTTGCATTTTTAGTAGAGACGGGGTTTCTCCATGTTGGTCAGGCTGGCCTTGAACTCCCGACCTCAGGTGATCCACCCGCCTCGGCCTCCCAAAGTGTTGGGATTACAGGCATGAGACACCATGCCTGGCGTGTTTTTTTTCTTTTTTTTTTAGAGATGGGGTCTCACTCTGTCATGCAGACTGGAGTGCAGCGCTGCAATCATGGCACACTGCAGCCTCAACCTCCCAGGCTCAAACCATCCTCCCCACTTAGCCTCCTGAGTAGCTGGGACCACAGGTGTGCAATACCATGCCTAGCTAATTTTTAATTTTTTTTTGTAGAGATGGGAGGTCTCGCTATGTGGCCCAGGCTGGTCTGGAACTCCTGTGTTCAAGTCATCCTCCCACCTGGGCCTCCCACACCCGGCCCACGTTTTTGTTTCTATTCGGCATGCTGTTCTAGTTGATAAAGCCTAGAATTTGTTGTTGTTGTTGTTGAAACAGAGTCTTGCTCTGTCGCCCAGGCTGGAGTGCAGTGGCGCCATCTCGGCTCACTGCAAGCTCCAGCTCCCGGGTTCAAGCGATTCTTCTGCCTCAGCCTCCTGGGCAGCTGGGACTACAGGCGTGCACCCCCACACCTGGCTAATTTTTGTATTTTTAGTAGAGATGGGGTTTCACTGTGTTGGTCAGGCTGGTCTTGAACTCCTGACCTCAGGTGATCCACCCACCTCAGCCTCCCAAAGTGCTGGGATTAGAGGTGTGAGCCCGGCCTAAAACGTAGAATTTATAAAGTGCTTTGAAAGCTACATGGTCCCTGAAATTTACAAATGACCCACAATCAGGGAAGTCTACTGGACAGATGGGGAAACTGAGGTACCACAGTGGGCAGGATGGGAGTCCGGGCATTCCACGGCCCCCACTCACTGGCAACATCACCCCAGCAGGCTCCTTAATCTCCACGTGCTTCAGTTTCCTCAACTGTCAAAGGGGTGAGAGTCACCTCTTTGGGCTGCCTTGATAGTGAGTGGAGTCCCGAGTTTATTATGGTGGGCTGTGGACGGAGGAGAGTTGGGAGGAGGCTGGCGTGGAGAGAGGAGGTGCTTGGGGGCTTTCTGCTCTGGCTTTGTGCTCCATCCCCTGTGGGACTGATGGGGAAACTGAGGCCCGAGAGGACCCGTGTTCTGTGAAATATCCCTCAAATCCAGCCTCCTGTCTGCCCACCCCAGCCCCACCCCCACCTCCAAGACCTCCCGGGTCTCCCAGCTTCTGCTCCATCCCCGGGAGCCCTTTGCTTGAAACTCATGACCCCACATGCATTAACATGGGTATCAGGGTGCCCTGTGGGAGGACAGATCCCTCTCTGTTTAGTGGGAGAAGCCGGCAGTGGCTTCGGGACTGGACAGGGCATGAAGCCGGTACTCCCTGGGCACCGGCCCACGTTAAATGTCTTCATCCGAGCATTCAGCAAGGGTTTATTGAGCACCTGCCCTGTTCTAGCTTCTGTGGACACAGCCGTGTGCGCAAGACACAAGATTCCCACCTTGGGAGCCACAGGGGGAGAAGGTCGTGGAAAAGACAGAAGGTTCGTGATTGGGGGATATCAGATATTATCCAAGGTGTCAAGAAACAGAACAGAAGGGAAAGGGGGCTCACACGGGTGTGCGTGTTTATACACACGTGTGCATGTGTGCCTGTGTTTGTGCACGCGTGTGTGCCTGTGTTTGTGCACGCATGTGCGCGTGCGCCTGTGTGTACACGTGTGTGTGTCTGTGCCTGTGTTTGTACACGTTGGGGGTCGAGGGTTGACCCTTTAAACGGGAATCCAGGGAAGCCTCACGGAGGAGGCAACACTCAGGCAGAGACCTGAGGGGGAGGAGGAGAGAGCCGTGGAAAGATCCGGAAGAAGGGTATTCCAGGCAGAGGGCACAGCCGTGCAAAGGCCCCAGGACAGGATCATGCCTGGCTGTTGGAGGAACAGCGAGGAGGCCCGTGTGGCTGGAGCAGAATGAGGAGGGGGAGAGAGGGTGGAGGGAGGGCAGGAAAGCGACAGGGCAGGTGGTGCAGGTTCCTGTGGGCCCCGGGGAGGACTTGGGCTTTGACCCCAAGGCAGGAGCCGTGGGGCGCTGTGGGCAGGGAAGGGGTGGGACCTGTGCTGGGGGCCGGGTGCTCAGTAAATACACGTTGAGTTAATGAATATCGCTTTGGCCGCGTGGGGGAATCCAATCCTCCCAGCGCCCCACAGCACAGGTGCTGCCCCCCCGTCCCCCCGTCCCGAAGTGCTTGTCAAGGCTGGCGAGCGGTTGGGTCCCCAGGGGACCCAGCGGACTCACCCGGGATGGCCTGGCGGTGGCTGAGCTCCAAGCCAGGCAGCCTCATCGTGGCCTGGCAGTAGAGCGCGGGCAGGACAGGGGTTGCCAGGGTCGGCAGCCGCCAGCGCTCTGTCACCCTGAACAGCACGTCCTCCTCCTCCTCCTGGGGCTCCTCCTCCTCCTCCTCCTCCACCTCCGGACCCAGAGCCTGGGCCCCCTCCAGTTCCTGGTCCCCCAGGAGCAGGGAGAAGGAGAGCGCGTTGGGGTCCACAGGCATGACCTTGTGGGCCGTACAGGCCACCTCCGGGTCACCAGGCACCAGGGCTGCCGGGGAGACGGTCAGCTGGTCCGGGAAGGCTGTGATGGAGGGTCAGGGGTCAGGGCTGAGCCCAAAGTCAGGGCTGGACGGGATGGAGGCGCTGGAGCCCGTTAGGGGCTTGGAGCTGGGGCCAAGGATGCGTGGGGGTTGCTGATGAACCGGCAGTGGGGACGGCCTGTGCGCAGGCCCCACCCTGGGAAGCTGGAATAGACTGAAGGATGGGACGGGGCCTGCCCTGGGAGGGTTGGGGTGCGTTGGGGGGAAGCGAAGGCTGGGGACCTGGGTTCGGGGAGCTGTGCATGGAGCTGGGACCGGGCCTGCAATCTGGGAGGCTTCCAGGAAGAGGTGGCGTAGGGAAGGGGCCGTGAGTCCAAGGGTCAGAGAGAGGCAGGGCGCGGGGGGACGCCTCACCGTACACAAGGAGCCGCACGGTGTGCTGGAAGGTGCGGCCCCCGCAGGAGCCCACGCACACACGGGTCCCGGCCGCCGACAGCGAGGCGTTGCGCACGGTGAGGACGCTGCGGCCCGCGTCCGACTGCACCGCGCCCAGGCTGGTGTCCAGGCCCCGCCACTGCACCGTGGCCCCGAGGTCCGCGCAGGCCAGGCGGCAGGTGAGCTGGCGAGAGGCGCCCAGGGCCACGGCCACCACCGGCTCCGGGGGCTCCACCTGCAGGGGCTTCACCTGGAGGGACTGGCCTGCGGCGACCCCGGCTCTGGCTCAGCCCCGCGGAGTCTTGGACCCCGCCCCGAATCCCTGCCCTGCGCCCCGCCCCGCTCCCGGACCCCCGCCCGCCTCTGCCCGGTTCCCGGACCCTCCGTTACACCCCGGACCCCCACCCCGCCTCTGCCCGGTTCCCGGACCCTCCACCCCACTCCCGGACCCCCGCCCCGCCTCTGCCGGGTTCCCGGACCCTCCCCTGCACGCCCGGACCCCCGCCCGCCTCTGCCCGGTTCCCGGACCCTCCCCTACACCCCCAGAGGCCCGCCCCGCCTCTGCCCGGTTCCCGGACCCTCCACCCCACTCCCGGACCCCCGCCGGCCTCTGCCCGGTTCCCGGACCCTTCGCCCCACTACCGGGCCACTGCCTCGCCGCTACCCGGATTCCCAGGCTCGGTCCCTGAACCCCGCCCCGACCCCCGCCTCAGCCCCAGTCCCCCGAACTCCATCTGCCTGGGGCCGGTTTCGCTGCGGGTCAGAGGGCCGCGCGGAGCCCCCCAACTTCCTCTCTCAGTCCCTGTCTCCTCCGAGCACCCTCCTCTGGCAGGATCACCAATCATCCCCTCTCTATTCTGCGCACCCCTACTCTCTCCTGCGCCCCTCCCCTCCGCACCCCCTCCTCTCTTCTGAGCCCCTCCCCTCTCCTGAGCCCCCTCCTCCCTCCTGCGCCCCCTCCTCCCTCCTGCGCCCCCTCCCCTCTCCTGCCCCCCTCCCCTCTCCTGCGCCCCCTCCCCTCTCCTGCGCCCCCTCCCCTCTCCTGCGCCCCCTCCTCCGTCCTGAGTCCCCTCCTCCGTCCTGCGCCACCTCCCCTCTCCTGAGCCCCCTACTCCTTTCTGCGCCCCCTCCCCTCTCCTGCGCCCCCTCCCTTCTCCTGAGCCTCCTCCCCTCTCCTGAGCCCCCTCCCTTCTCCTGAGCCCCTCCCCTCCTCACCCCCTCCCTTATCCTGAGCCCCCTCCTCCGTTCTGAGCTCCCTCCTCTCTCCTGAGCCCCCTCCCCTCTCCTGAGCCCCGTCCCCTCTCCTGAGCCCCCTCCCCTCCGCACCCCCTCCCCTCTCCTGGGCCCCCTCCTAACTCCCTCCTCTCTCCCGCGCCCCCTCCCCTGCTCACCGCAGCCCGGCTGGAGGAGCCCCAGAAGCCCCGCCAGCAGGAGGGCCAGGCCCCAATCCATGCTCGGTCCCCTCTGTCCCCGAGGCCTCGGGGAAGCCACTTAAATAGCGGCGCCCGCTCCTTCCCGCCGCCCCGCGACCCCGCTCCAGCTGCTCCCCGGGGGCTTCCCAAGGGGCTTTCCCGGCCTGACCCCCAACCCTGGAGGCGGCAGAGAGGGAGGGGCTGGGGGCCAAAGATGGGGCGGGGGCCCCCGGGGCCGGTAAGGACGGGCGGGCAGGAAGGTCTGGGTCCTTTCCAGGCCTCATTTTCAGGTACACGGGAAGATCGCAGACGGAGGCCGGAGGGTGGAGGTCAAGTGCATGGAAGTGGGACAGAGGCCGGGCAGCGCTGCCCCGCCCCGACGGCGGGTCCCCTGCGCTTTTTCTTTTTCTTTTTTTTGAGACGGAGTTTTGCTCTTGCTGTCCAGGCTGGAGTGCACTTGTGCGATCTCAGCTCACCACAACCTCTGCCTCCCGGGTTCAAGCGATTCTCCTGCCTCAGTCTCCTGGGTAGCTGGGATTACAGGCGCCCGCCACCACGCCCGGCTAATTTTGTGTCTTTAGCAGAGACGGGGTTTCTCCATGTTGGTGAGGCTGGCCTGGAACTCGCAACTTCAGGTGATCCGCCCACCTCCCATCACAGGCCTGAACCACCGCTCCCGCCCGCCTGCACTTTCCCGGGCGGCCGCACAGGGGCGGTGGGGAGCAGCCTCGCCCTGCTCCGGTGCTGTGGCCACGTCTTGTGGGGTGGGGTCCCCTGGGGTCAGGTGAAAGTCGCTGGGGATGGAGGCCCCCTAGGCTGGGGTCTCCTGGCCGTCGTGGAGCTGTGCGACCCTCCAGGACCTGGGACGAGTCACCCAATCTCTGAGCCTGGCTTCCTTTCATCACACGGGCAGAGGCCGCCTACCTAGCAGGCCTGGCTGGAGCCTGGGAGCCCCAGTGGGGGCTACCTTTGTTCCTTGGTCTACACTGAGATCTGGATCTCCGGCCACAAGAGGGATCTGGAAGGAATGCTGGCTGGGCCCCCACTCACAGCTGCCGTCAGCGAGTCGTGGGAACCTCACCTTGCAAACGCGCTGGAATCCACCCATCTGTTCCTCCAAGCCCCCAACTCTGGTTCTGTTTCCCCTTGTGGCTTGTTTACTCCTCTGGGCACACTGACACCCCTTAGGCTCCCCTCGGGAGCCCTGCACCACCGGGACCCTCCCCCGGCCTCTGGGCTTCTGCACGGCTGCTCCTCACCTTGCCCAGGTTCTGCCCACGCCTTCCCCCCGCCCTCCTCCGCTGTGGTTCCTAGGGTGCTCTTCTCCAAGCTCAATGAGGGCCTGCGGTGGCAGTCGTGATGGCTGGCTCCCCTCCACCCGGGGGCCCGTCCCTGTGACCCTGGAACCCACGTACTGCAGGCACACAGGAATAAAATGATGGAGCATTCCCGCTGACTTCAGGGTCTGTTTGTGCCTCAGTTTCCCTGGCCATGAAATAAAAAGCAGCAGTCCATGGGGTTCCAAGCATTGCCAATCAGCTTACCTGTCAGAGGAGGGAAACTGAGGCCCAGAGGAGGGGCTGGGATCAGAGGAGGGAAACTGAGGCCCAGGGGCGGGGCTGGGATCAGAGGAGGGAAACTGAGATTCAGGGGAGGGCCTGGGTGCAAAGGAGGGAAACTGAGGCCTAGGGGAGGGGCTGGGTGCAGAGGAGGCAAAATGAGGATCAGGGGAGGGGCTGGGTGCTAAGGAGGGAAACTGAGGGTCAGAGGAGGGGCTGGGTGCAAAGGAGAGAAACTGAGGCCTAGAGGAGGGAAACTGAGGCCCGGGGTGGGGAAACAGGTCCCTGGGAGGTGAGGGCCCAGGTGTGTTAGCTCACAGCCCTATCTCCCTGGGTCCCATCCCCCTCCTGCCCAGGCCGGTGCCGGGAAAGGCCTCACCGGAAGGCAGACTCCAAGGAGAGGCCCTCCCCAGGCCGGAGGTGCAGGCCCTTCCCGGGAAGCTGGGCCCTTAACCCGGGCGGGGGGCAGCAGGCCTGGTGAATAGGCTGCTTCCCAGCCCCTGACCTCACTTCCTGCAGGTGGGGAGGGGCCACTGGGCGCTAGGAGGGCTGAGGCCCCTTGCAGGGTGTGTCCCAGCTCTCCAGGACCCTGTCCTGCGCCCGCCCGCTGGGTCACACGTGGTGGTCATGCTGCTCATACTCCCTGCGTGCCGAGCCCTCACATCCACAGGCTTGCGGGGGTGGGGACAAGACAAAGCTGGAGTCTTGTCCCCAGGACAGGGCGGGTGGGATGGACACAGGAAGGAGGAGGAGGGTTCCCAGAGGCAGAGGGACCCGCAGGTTTAAAGGGTCAGAGGTGGGGAAGGTGGGGGTGAGGGAGACACAGAGACAGAGAGAGAGAAACAGAGACACAGAGAGGCAGAGACAGAGTAAGAGAGACAAGGCAGAGATACGCAGGGAGACAGAGACACAGAGAGGCAGATACAGCGAGGAAGAGAGACAAGGCAGAGACACACAGGGAGACAGAGACACAGAGAGGCAGAAGCAGAGGGACAGAGAGACCAAGGTGGGCCAGAGGCCTGAGGCCGGGGAGGACCCTGAGACCCCTGCGTCTGAGTCCTAGTCCCACAGCAAGGGACTGCACGGTATCTTCTTCCACCAGCAACGGGGACCTCCCTTTTGTCCTTAGGAGACTCGACCCCGCCTCCAACATCGATCCCCTTCCCGGCATTGTCCTCAGCGGCCTCCGGCAGGAAGCCCCCTTCCCATGGAGGGTCCCAGCTGTCCCACCGGCCCCAGACCCCACCTCCTGGCCTCCCTGTCCACAGTCGCCGGGGGTGTGTTCCAGATGACTGTGTTGCCGAGGGGAAGGGGCTGTGGGGGTGCCGGTGTCCAGGAGCTGAGCACGCCTCCAGGCCCTCACAGACCCTTCTTGACCCAGCTGGGCCAGCTCTCCTGGCTCCCACCCACTGGTCAGTTTTGGGGTCCTCACGGCTTTTTCTTTGGCGTGAGGACCCCCATCAGGGCAGGCCCTCCTTGTTGGGCAAGGCTTGAACCCAGTCCAAGGACCCCAGGCCTGAGGGTCTCAAGGACAGTGGGGGCGGGATGAGATTAATGGAGGCTGCAGGAGGGGGTTGAATAAGTAGCCATGTGCGTGCCTGTGTGCGTGTGTACGTGTGGAGTTTCAGCCATGAAGCCCACACTGGGGGTGGGTCTGGCACCCACATCAGGTTTGAGGAGGAAAGATCTTTGTGGCCCACCTGGCACAGGTCCCTGAAGGAGTTGAGCCCCTCCCTGCAGGCCGGCCAAGCTGACCACGTCACTGAGCCTGGGCAGGGCCGCCGGGCCTCCCCAGGGTCAGTGACCGCCTGGTGAGGGGCTGGGGCAGTGCTCAGTCCCAGCAGCCCCCCGGGAAATTGGATATGGAGCCTCAGGCGATGATGCTGGTGTGGTCTCCACGGCAGCCCCACCTGAGCTGATCAGGAGGGGTCTGTGGGGATGGGGATCCATGGGGCAGGAGGCACACTATGGTGAGAGCTGGCTTGGGGCTGGCTCTTCCCCGGGGAGAGGCGGGGCTGGGGGCCCTCGTCAGCTGCTCTGACGCCTTGGTGCTCCCAAGGCCATCTCCAGGCTCACCCCAGCTTCCACGGCCCCGTCTCACGGATTAAAGGGCCACTCAAGAGCTGCTTTGAAGACAGGGGCCCAGCCAGGAGCCGCACAGGCCTCCCCCTTGGGGCTAGGAGGCTAGAAGGGCGCAAGCCACACGCACATCAGTCGAGAGACACTGAAATTGTCTATGAATTGCCCTCGCAGGGTTTGAGACTAGAGAGTTGCAACATCGTGCCAACACCATAAAAGACAATGAACTGTTTCTTTAAAAGCTCTGTTTTTTGAGACGGAGTCTCACTGTATTGCCCAGGCTGGAGTGCAGTGGTGCGATCTTGGCTCACTGCAACCTCTGCCTCCTGGGTTCAAGCGATTCTCCCGCCTCAGCCTTCTGAGTAGCTGGCATTATAGGCACATGCCACCATGCCCGGATAATTTTTGTATTTTTAGACTTTTTTTTTTTTGGGAGACAGAGTCTCGCTCCATCGCCCAGGCTGGAGTGCAGTGGCGCTATCTCAGCTCACTGCAACCTCCGCCTCCTGGGTTTAAGCAATTCTCCTGTCTCAGCCTCCGGAGTAGCTGGGACTACCGGCGCTGCCACCACACCTGGCTAACTTTTGTATTTTTAGTAGAAACAGGGTTTCACCATATTGGTCAGGCTGGTTGCGAACTCCTGACCTCAGGTGATCCACCCGCCTCGGCCTCCCAAGGTGTTGGGATTACAGGCGTGAGCCACCGCGCCTGGCCCTGAAGCCTCCTTTCTAACGCGAATGTCAACTTAGAAACGGATGCAGCTCTTCGAAAACGTGTGGCACAGCTAGGGTTTGTGAAAGCCACTTTTCCAGCTAGAACTTTAGGGGCCTGAAGAGCAGATGAAGTATTTCCTGTGAGAATTAGAAATGGACACAAACGTGCAAAATACGCTCTGGGCTCCGAACACTCAGCCTGAACAAAGAGGGTACAACATTTCAACGTGTATGAAGTATTGATTATGTGTCGAAAGGATAGTATTTTGGACACAGTGGATTAAATAAGATAAAGATACATCTTTATGTTTCTTTTGTGTTTTTTTTTTTTTTGAGACGGAGTCTCTCGCTGTCGCCCAGGCTGGAGTGCAGTGGCCGGATCTCGGCTCACTGCAAGCTCCGCCTCCCGGGTTTGCGCCATTCTCCTGCCTCAGCCTCCCGAGCAGCTGGGACTACAGGCGCCCGCCACCTCACCCGGCTAGTTTTTTGTATTTTTTAGTAGAGACGGGGTTTCACTGTGTTAGCCAGGATGGTCTCGATCTCCTGACCTCATGATCCGCCCGTCTCGGCCTCCCAAAGTGCTGGGATTACAGGCTTGAGCCACCGCGCCCGGCCACATCTTTATGTTTCTTTGTTTTTTTTTTGAGACGGAGTCTCGCTCTGTCGCCCAAGCTGGAGTGCTGTGGCCGGATCTCAGCTCACTGCAAGCTCCGCCTCCCGGGTTTACGCCATTCTCCTGCCTCAGCCTCCCGAGTAGCTGGGACTACAGGTGCCCGCTACCTCGCCTGGCTAGTTTTCTGTATTTTTTAGTAGAGACGGGGTTTCACCGTGTTAGCCAGGATGGTCTGGATCTCCTGACCTCGTGATCCACCGTCTCAGCCTCCCAAAGTGCTGGGATTACAGGCTTGAGCCACCGCGCCCGGCCCTTTGTTTTTTTTGTTGTTGTTGTTTTGTTTTTGTTTTTTTGAGTTGGAGTTTCCCTCTTGTTGCCCAGGCTGGAGTGTAGTGGTGCGATCTCGGCTCACTGCAACCTCCACCTCCCGAGTTCCAGTAATTCTCCTGCCTCAGCCTTCCAATTAGCTGGGACCACAGGCACACGCCACCACGCCCGGCTAATTTTTGTATTTGCAG